TCCAAATTAGGGCTTAACCTGGATTGGGACCTCTCTGGGCTTAAGTTGGAATCTCCCTCCCCATCTCTTTGTCAGTATTAAATGGCCACTGTGAAGACATGAGGGGTGAAACAGAACACAGCCTCTGAGTATATGCAGAGCACATTTCTCACATTGCTGAGGAATTGCAGCCATTTTGGACAACACCAGGGTGACAAACCTAGTTTTTCAGTTTGAACGCTCCAAGTTCTGAGCAGGTACAAGCTACAAAAAGAGCTTGGAAAAAAATACATTTTTGGACTACATCTCCCATGTCCTTGCTGCCTGGAGGATGCTGGAGAGTGTAGTCCAAAAAAGGGCACTTATCCCCGTCCATTTTGAGAGTGGCCAGTGACTTATTTATTCAGGCTGCCATCCTGTGCGTGTTTCTTAGGCAGTAAGTCCTATTGGACATAATGAAACTTATTTCTGAGTAAATACGCTTAGAATCAGGCAGTGAAGGAAATTGAGTAGATAGAGTGGCATGCAAAGGACGAGACTCCAGGTTCCTGGAATTTCGTGTCAGCTCGAGAATGATAAATTGAGGCTAATAAATTGTTATTGATTTTATGCACAGAATTACTATTGCAATAATTATTATAAGGGAACTAAGGGAAAGGTGCTGGATACCTTTCCATCTGGATACTCCCATGAGATCCTTGTTTCACCCTGCTGAACAGATATCCAGAACAGAAACATCCTCTCTTATTATTTATTCCTATAAACAACTATGAAGGACTTTTTAAAGAAATCCCGACCATTCTGCTTGAGATGCGACATTTCAAGAAGAACACACTAAGATCTCCTGACGTACTTGTTGTCCACCCAAGTTTGATGTCTTCCTGAAGTTTCATGAGATGTTGCCTCCTTGTTCTGATTATTTTATACATGAATGTTATTTATGCCAATAAACTATTTTTTTATACTACTGGAAACATACGCTTGCATGTTCCTTGTAATTAAATTCTTCCCAACGTTCAATGAGGATGCATGGGAAGAAATGTCCATTTTTCTTGGACCTGTCTGTTGGAAAGCAGTATCTGGCCTCAGGATGCCAACAAAGCAGGAAGTGAGGTTTAAAACTGGCACATCTGGGGGACAATTTTCTGCCCTTGAGATCCCCCCAGAAGCCGCAAGGACTGCAAAAATACAGTGTCATCCATGGCTAAGAAAATGGATGTCCCTGGGAAAATCATACCCACATTTCCCAGGGACACTGGGGTCATGTGAGTTATGTCTTGCAGCATCACATCAGGTATGCAAGAAGCTCTCACAACGACATATCTCTGCCTGAGCTTGGTAACGCTACCTTTTCAGAGTACATCTGCTAAAATCCCCCAGCTGGCCTTGGGGATTCTGGGAGCTGTAGTCTAAAACAGAAACTTCCTCAGACTTTGACTTCATTGGGTGACAAGCCCAGTTCATAGGCTAGAAGTGCTGCAAAAAAAATTGTTTTGCCAGCAATCAAGTGTGCCTATGTTGAAACATCCTTTAAGGAGTACATGCACATTTTCACAACAGCAACCTGTTGGGCAAGTTCTTGAGTTTTTTGTATGAAAAAACAAAACAAAAACAAATGCACAAAAATGATAGAACAAAGCTGGCTACATCCCAGGGCTAGCTCTCTGCAGTGCTAATCCAGCTGATATTTGAATGCCATGTGAATGATGCTGTGGTTGAGTGTTATAATACTGGAACATCTCACATCTAAACATCTGTGTGAAAGCATGGGCCCAAATCCTGCTGCTTAGTATAGTTAATCTCACTACACCAGGCCCATTGATTCAATGGGTATTTGATGAGTCAACTCTATTGCAGAGTTTTGAATTTTAGTGAAAAATCGCCTAGTTGTACAGCAGAAGTGCATGGTTATAGAGAGCAGAATTAGCGTCTAGTCTCCCCTGAGTAGACCACTCCTCTTTCTCTCATCAACTGGCACTTACAGTCTCAATAACTCACCTTGAGACACTGGTAAGAGAAAGAGTAAAAAGGTTTAAAATAATCATAGTTAACCAGATCAAGAACAGCATATTGCACAAACATGACTGATATGCAGCAACAGGCCTTGATGGACTTACAGCCTGATTCCAACAGATTCCTGCAGACTACCTTCTAACTGCACACCAAGTGCACTAACTGACAACAGCACACTAACTGCTAACTGCCAAGAGATTAAAAGAGATGGGGGGAAAGGAGAGGCCTAAGCAGAGAAGTGGGACTCTCTTTGAAATCAGAAACAGAGAAGGAACATTCCGTTACTGCTAGATTGATTGATAGTCACCCCAGCCAAGAAAGGTCCCTTCCAGCCAAACCTACTGAAGGCAGCATGCAAGATTGCAAAAAAAATCCAACAGACTTGCCCATAGATTTCACTGATTGAATGAGCCTACTCTAACTGTGGCTTACTTTAGCACATGTATTTTCCCCACACATGTTACTGCCCAGCCAAGCATTACCCATCTGATTTATCTTGCCTAGATGTTTGACTTTGCATTTATCCTATTAAAATGTTTTGGCTTTGTTTTGGCCCAATTTCGAATCTGTTAAAGTTACCTTGAATCCGGTTTCTCTCTTCTGCAGTCTTTACTAAACCTTCCCAGATTGGGGTCCTCTAAAGATCTGATTAAGCAAACCCTTACGCCTTCATCCCAGTCATTTGTAGAACTGTTGAACAACACGGGTCCCAAGAATGGATCCTGCCGCATTTCATGGGTCAAGAGTTCTCCGGGATGAGAAGGCATCATTGCTGGGTGTGCACTGTTCGGGTCTACTCCATCAACCAGCAACAAAGCCACCCCCCTCTCAGCACCATCTAGCTGACACTTTACCAGGATGGGTCTTATTTTTGTCATCAAATTCTCTATTTTAAGCACTAAGAAGAACTGTGCAGTCAGTGGTGAAGTACGAATCTTCCAGTGATGGAAACATGTGTAGTGGTAATATTGAAGTACGAATCTTCCAGTGATGGAAACACGTGCAGTGGTAAAATCATTGGCAAGATGCCAGTGCAAACACATTGCATTACTGGTTCTAAGCTTGGGTTTCGGAAGGATCAAGACCAGGCACCCACAATGGTGGAATTGCATTACTGGTTCTAAGCTTGGGTTTCAGAAGGATCAAGAGCAGGCACCCAAGCAATCTAGCAATCAAGGAGAGCTCAGTATGTAGAGCTGCAGTTCAAATTTTGGGGTTGAATACAGTAGTATCAACTCTTAGCATAGGGCAGACAATGGAAATATACTATGATTCTCCTCTAGAGTAAGACCTGTGGGCATCCACTCAGACAAGGAGGCAGGGCAGGGAAAGCCTGTCTGAAAAGAAAAGAAATGTCTTTATCTGCTTGTAGGAGAACAGCAGCAAAGTCGGGGCGAGCCTGACTTCCAGTGGGAGAGAGTTCCGCAGTCTGGAAGCAGAGACAAAGAAAGCCCTCTCCTGTGTCCCTACCAAACACACCTGTGAAGGTAGTGGGACCAAGAGGAAGGCTTCCCATTGGTGATCTTAACACCTGAGCAGGCTCATAAAGGGAGACACAGTCCCATAGCTTGGGAAATGGATCGGCAGTCGGTGGAGGGAGGAATTATGTGATTCCTCTAATACCTCCAGTTAACTCGGTAGCCAGTATCCTGATGTTTGGGGTCTGCTTCCCCTTGCTACCACAACAACGATTGGGCCATTTCTCTTCCTTCCTCAGGAAACCAATGCTTGTATAATCTTGCTGGAACATTTGCACACATGATAAATAACCAAGCTCACTCTTCGATCGCAGATCTTTTTGCTCTTCAATTTTTTTCTTGGCTTATAGTCCACAGGATGGCGAGCCCTGCGCTGAGATGCAAGGCCGCAACAGGATTCCTGACGATGATCTTTCTTCTTCCAGGTACTGATTATTACCACCTTCTCTCCCATTAAGAACAAATTCAGGCTGTTGGGTGGGGACTGGAAAATGAAAAGGGAGGCGTCGTTGTGCTCTGATTAACTGGCATATAACCGATCTTCTAAAGAAGAGTCGAGGTTAAGGGAAAACCAAGGAACAGGACAGCCAAGCAAGGCCTGAACGTGGCCCCGAGGTTCCAGAAACCTCCTTTCAATTTCCATTTTCCATTTGGAAGAGTGGAAACAAACGTTTAGTTCTTTCTGACTAGGGATTGCCTGGACATTCGGAAGATCTTAGGCTTGACCCCGTGTTTGTGTTTCTTCTCAGGAACGTATGCCTTGGAATGTTATACATTTACCTCCTTTCAGCAGTTTGATTCTAAGGGCAGGTGTGGATTTGAGCACGCCACCGTCGCCCGTAATTCGACCTGTTCCTCTGGCAATGATGTTTGCCTAAGCGCGGAATTTGAACTCGGCACCGGTAAGCAAAGACCTAACAACATTCATCCCGATTTCTGAAGGTCATTCTAGGTTATAATGAACATTCTGTTCGAGGGTTCAATAAAATGGTTCATCCAAGGTTTCTGGAACTCCCAGTTTAGGGAAGATCCTAGCCCGCTTCCTTCAGGCAGCAATTTGGAGCAACTCTCTTTATTGAATGTCTGAATCAGGGTGAAGGATAGAGAAGGGGAAAATCAAAATTTTGAATACACTTGGAAGAGGATAACTATATACATTACTGGAAGCCATTCACATTCCAAGTGAGATTTCATGGGGCTGAGAAAGAAAGAAAGAAAGAAAGAAAGAAAGAAAGAAAGAAAGAAAGAAAGAAAAAGAAAGACATATTTATTTTTCTATCTTTACATTTATTTTAGCATGAACTATCTAAGGAAGTATAGGGACGTGGTGGCGCTGTGGGCTAAACCGCAGAAGCCTGTGCTGCAGGGTTAGAAGGCCAGCAGTCGTAAGATCGAATCCACACGACGGAGGGAGCTCCCGTCGCTTTGTCCCAGCTCCTCGCCAACCTAGCAGTTCGAAAGCAAGCAAATACGAGTCGATAAATAGGTACCACCTCGGTGGGAAGGTAAAACGGCGCTCCCTAGTCATGCTGGCCACATGGCAATGGAAACTGTCTTTGGACAAGCCCTGGCTCTATGGCTTGAAAATGGGATAAGCACCACCCCCTCGAGTCGGACACAACTAGACTGAAAATGTCAAGGGGAACCTTTACCTTTACCTAAGGAAGTAGATTATATAGACATGGGCATGAATGAGAAAAATAGTATTTTGTTTCAATTCATGATTTTTCAAGGTCGGCAAATCACAAATAACGAATTTATAATGTTGTTGTTGTTGATTCATTTCTGATTTAAAAACACTATAAAATGCTTCCCTGGGCACACAGAGAAACAAGTATTTCTCTGAGTCGCCTCTACAAGCCCAGCTTGTTTGGTGAAGATTGGGTTTTCCCAAGCCAGCTGTTAAAGGGCACTTTCCTGGGGGGGGGGGAGACCCACTTTGTGGGTATATAACTTGGATGTCTGAAACCCAATCTTCACCGAACTTGCTGGGCTGGTAGAGGAGAGTCAGAGGAATATCTGCAATATTGGTTTACCTAGGCACCCGGAGAGCCATTTGATAGGGTTTAAAAGTAAAAAATGATTCAACAAATCGATCAGGAAAAAATTCATAAATTTGTTATTCGTGATTCATCAACCTTGACGAATCACGAATCAAAATGAATTGCCATTTTTTTTCTGATTTGTGCCCATCTCTCGTCTCCAATATTAATGGTCTGTTTAGCTCTTTCTACAGGCTACCTTTGTTTGCTCTGCCAGCCATTTCATATAGCACTGTTCTCTTCCTTTATTGAAGTGGGTCCTCCCAAGATATGGGAGGTTTGGCGTTATGCGTCCATTTGTTTATTGGCCGACCAGGCGTTTGGGACTTTGCAGATTCACCTCTTCCAATGGAGGAAGCAGTGCCATGGATTCCCTGCCCTGGCCTCCTCTGGACACTGCCTCTGAGTGGGCACACGCTGGAAGAGGTGGGACGGCAAAATGCCAAATACCTGCTTGGCCAATAAACGAACTGGGGCAAACTGCCCAACCAGCACTTTGTGCCGATTTCTAGTCCTCCCCTTGCCATGATGCTCCAAAAATGTATGAATAAAATATTACGTAACTGAGATCAGCCCTTCTCTGTATGCCCTTTATTAAGGCGCAGACCTCGTTAAAGGACCTGTCTACATCCCCAGGTGTCACATTTGGAAGAATCCTTCCCCCATTCTTTGGCGAGTGCAAACAAATCTTGTTTTTGGACATATGTGGATGTATTGGTGCTTTTGCGGGCTTTCCCAGTGAACTCCTGCCTTTCGTGTTTCCAAAGTCCCAACAAATATGGCTTAAATCCTACCATTGAGTTACACTCATATGAATCCCTTATGGTTGGCCAGTCACGTGGGCTGGTGCCTGACATGGGATACAAGCAGTGATTTGTTAATTAGAGACAGTATACCCCCATGATTATTGTCATTACTCGTATGCCCACAAAACCAACCCCATTGGATTCTGGCCATTAACTCTTTTATATGGTTTTTATGTATTGGCCCAAATCCTCTTGGCTCGTGACACTGGCAGAACTCAAGGCGAATTGATTTAAGTTAAGAAATCATCGTAGACATTATCTGTTGTATACAGAGTCATGTGACTCAGTGTGCCGCTGATGATGTGTACAGTGATTTCTTAACTTACGGCGTTTCACCTTTAAAGGCTGAGCCGCCCGAAGATCTTGGCTGTTGTTTTACATCATATACTTCATGGTTATTGGCTACCCTTTCAAGTCAAGATCAGTATTTCCCAACTAAGTCCTGAGATGTTCTTAGACTGCCAGCACAGCTAGTGGTGAAGGCTTCTGCGATTTTTAGTCCAAGATCTCTATCTGGAGACCCCAGTTTGAGAACCATTGTTCTAGATGGTAGCCATTTATAAATGCTCATAAATAAATACCGTATTTTTCAGTGTATAAGACGCCCCCTTGTATTTTCAGTGTATAAGACGCCCCCATGTATAATTTTCTAATCTAAAATAAAAAAATCTAAGTGGGGCTTAGCAAGTGCAGGGGGAAAGGGATCAAAGCACTGCAGGATCACTTTGATCCCTGTTTTCCCCTCCACTTGTTTTTCTCTCCTCAGCTTACTTCTGTGTACAAGAAGACCCTCAATTTTTAGTCTAAAGAAAAATACGGTAAATTATCAAAATTGCTCTGACTGCCTACAGTCCCATGCCAGCCAAAACTTGTCAAGGTCAGAAGTTTGGAGTGTCCTCCACTGTGTTGATATCTTATTTGTTTCTGTTCCTCCTTCAGATGAAAACACTCTGCTGGTAAGCTATAGAGGCTGCTTCGCTAAGAATCCTAGAGATGCAGAAGGAGCAACTATTTTTGGCCACCAATACTTTGCCATCCAATCCAACCTCAGCTATTGCTACCAGGACTTTTGCAACATCAGATCAGCCTCTGCAGAGTTTCCAAAAACTACCAGCAAGGGCACAGGTATAAATGCTCAGTTTAGGAAAAGATGAGGATAGGAAGTTTCACTTGTGGAAGATAGTACTNCCCCCCCCCCCCCCTGCTGGAGCTCCCAAACCATTTACAGGAGCACAAGATGTGACAAATCTTTAACCACATTTCTTCATCACATTTTCAGCAGCGAATTGCCCCAAGAGAAGAAGGCAGTGTAGGCATTTCCTGTTGCATACCAGTTGCATGACATGGTGTATGACAGGAAATGCCTACACTAACTTCTTAATATGTGGAAATTTGTCACTGAAGTTTCTACTGATGGTACAGAGGACCCTTGTCTCTATGGCAGATCTGTTCCATGCTCCCCCTCCCACCATGAATGCTGAGAACCCTGGGTAATAGTGAACCCTATATCCTATAGTGAACATGGTCTCTCACTCCCTCTGGTGACCAGGTCTGGTAATTACATCATGGAAATACTTATTTCTGGGGGGTTTTCTTTTAATATTTTTAATATTTTCAGACTGCAGATTAGTGAAATCTTGGATACCTACCCTGTGAATACAGCAATCCTGCTGTAATACACGGACAGAAATGTCCCATAGAATTCCAGGCACAAACTCTGAGATGCACATCTCCAGGGTCCACTTCACATATCTGCCAAGTGTCAAGCATCTAAATCTCATGGTCCTAGAAATAATTCTACTTGGTTAGATTTAGTTCTTTTTTTTTACTTGATGGGCCATAAGAGCAGTAAGGTAATGTTTTACATTAAATTAATTGTTGCATCAGACCCTTCATGCAGCATCCTCTTGTTAAATGTTGGGTAGCTCAGCAGCTTTGGTCTCTGGCTGAAGAGCAAGAGGTTGACAGTTCAGTTCCCCACTGTGCCTCCTTCAGAGGGCCTGCACTCAATAATCCATGAGGTCCCTTCCAGCTCTACAGTCCAAAGGTTACTATTATTAACCATTGCTATAATCTCAGCCTGAAGAGCCAAAAGCTAAGCAGTTTCTCTTTGAGGGATTGCTTGATAGCTTGGGGACGTGGTGGCGCTGCAGGTTAAACCGCAGAAGCCTCTGTGCTGCAAGGTCAGAAGACCTGCAGTCGTAAGTTCGAATCCACGTGTCGGAGTGAGCCCCTGTCACTTGTCCCAGCTCCCGCCAACCTAGTGGTTCGAAAGCACGCAAATGCAAAATGCAAGTAGATATATAGGTACCACCACGGTGGGAAGGTAACAGCGTTCCATGTCTAGTCATGCTGGCCACATGACCACGGAAGCTTGTCTTCGGACAAACGCTGGCTCTATGGGTTGGAAACGGAGATGAGCACCGCCCCCTAGAGTTGGACACGACTGGACAAATTGTCAAGGAGAACCTTTACCTTTACCTTACCTTGATAGCTTGAGTCAAGGCTGACTCATTTCAATCTGGAATTGTAAAGAGTTAGGGCTAGGATTAGGTTCAGAGTTATGACTATGGTTAGATTGAGACTGAGATTTAGATGGCTGGATTGCTCAATGGTTTAAGTATCTGACTGCAGAGCCAAAGGTTGGGAGTTTGATTCCCCCACGGTGCCTCCTGAGAGAAGATCCAGCCCGCGTGACTTTGGGCCAACTGCACAGTCCCAGGGCACCCTCGGTGACACCCAACTCCACCTGCTTTTAAAGATCTTCCAGGAGGCCCTTCTCTCAGTCTCTCAGGCCCGTAGGTGCTAACCAGAGGGGGTGAGGTGCTGAACCAGGGAACACCTGTTTGGCTGTCTGTCGAACAGGCACAAACAGTCCAACCAGCAGTTCGTGCCCATCCCTAATATGAACTTGACAGCACATCATCATCATCATCATCATCATCATCATCATCATCATCATCATCATCATCATCATCATCATCTAGAAGCGTCTCATCCAAATGGCTCCATCCATTGCTATTCTGGCCAAAACCACAACGCCTCTGAACTCACCTTGGAGAAAGTGGCTTGCAGCAACCGCTCTGACCTTTGCTACCAAGGCCGTCATGCCATCAAAGTTGGTGAGTACAGAACACAGCACAGAACAGCAAAGGCCCCAGATTCGGTCACCCTTCTCTTATGAAAATGTTGCTTGTAACCCAGTGTTTCCCAGCAACTTTTTTTTTCCTGCAGCAGTAACAGTAATAGTAGCAGCAGCAGGAGAAGCCATATACTGCTTTATACTTCTCCTGCAATTTTATGCTTTATGCACATGCAATAACTATTTTAGTGTTTTCCCCCAAGAAACAAATACACCACTTGACATGAGAAGCTTATGTCAGTCACATCACTTTTCTCCAATTACATCACTTTTTCTTCGCGATTTAGAAGAACCACTCTCTGTGGTTGAGGCATCTGGCTGTGGAGCCAGAAGCTGGGAGTTCAATTCCCCACTGTGCCTCCTCAACAGCGGCTGAATTCCTTGATCCATAGTGGGAGTTCCAGTTGTAAGAGTATTACGGTATTTTTCCATGTATAAGACTATACTTTTGTCTAAAATTTTTAGACTAAAAATGAGTACCCAGCTTGCTGGGGGGGGGCAATGTGTAGCCTGCATAATTAACTTGTAAACTACCCAGAGAGTGCTTGAAGCGCTATGGGGCAGTATATAAGCAGCACGCTTTGCTTTGCTTTACTAAAAATTTACTAAAATTTATTAAAAATTGATTTGTAGACTAAAATTTTTTTAACTAAAAATTGTCTTATACACGGAAGTAAGCTGAGGAGACAACAAAAACAAGTGGAGGGGAAAGCAGAGATCAAATTGTTCCTGCAGGGCTTTAATCCCTGCTTTCCCATCCACTTGCTAATCCTTAGCAAAAGGAAAGTAGGGATCAAAGTGCTGCAGGATTGCTTTGATCCCTGCTTTCCCCTCTGCTTGCTATGTCCCATGGGGGCTTAACCAAAGGAGGGGGGAAATAATCAAATCAATCCCATGGCTGCATAAGGGGGAAAGGGATCAAAACGATTGTGCAGTTGCGGGATTGCTTTGATCCCTATCCCCCTCCTTTTGCTAAGCGCCGCGGGGCTTAGCATGAAGGGAGAAAGCAGGGATCAAAGTGATCCTGCAGCGCTTTGATCCCTTTCCCCCTACACTTGCTAAGCCCCACTTAGATTTCTTAATTTTGGGTTAGAAAATTGGGTGGTGTCTTATACATGGGGGCAACTTATACATGGAAAAATATGGTACATGCTTCATGATTGGCTAGGCATGCCCCACTGTTGACTTTGGACTCGTATTGCATGCTGAGAGAAGTCTATCTATGTGCCTCTCCTAACAGAATTCTGTGTTTTCTCCTTCTTTCTTCCTTCCCTCTCTCAACCCCCAGGAAACACCACTCAGGTCTTCTACATCAGGAGCTGCCAGAACCCTTCTTGTGATGTACCTAAGCACCGCGTCTTTGGTCCTGTGGAACTCGAATTCCTGGAAGGCTCCTGCTGCTCTGGAAGCAATTGCAATGGGAAAAAAGGCACATCTGAGGTCTCAAATGACATCATATCAGGGCCCACAGGTGGCCCTTATGGTGGAGGTGCTGGCAGTCCCACCACCAATTTCACTGACTCAGACGGAACCTCCAAGGAGGATTCCGACTATGATACTGAGAGTGATGATGACACCGTATCTGAAAAAACGCCCAATTCCCCAATTCATCCACGAGCCCCTGGGCCAAAATCCAAAGGGTCTTCCTTTCAATTCTGCCCCCTACTGTTAGCCATTGGAATGACAGTCATTGAGCTAGGCTGGTGAGAAATGAGCTGGAAGGGTGTCTTTTTGTTTCGATGTTCTGTCCTCAGTTTTGGAAAGTGGTGTGTTTCATGGGGGGGGAGGAACATGGGAGGGTTACCTTTAAGGTATGAAAGATACCCATGGGGCAATAATCAGAACCTGGAAATAACACATCATACATAATCACCTACGTATAATTAATTCCTTTTATGCAACAACATAGATAACATTCTCTGTAGCTCTGTAGTGCAACAGCAAAAAGATTCTTCTATCCTTTTTGCTGTGGAAGTGCAACTGATTTACTTCTATAGTTACGTGGGTGGGTTTTCGGTATCTTTTGCAGCATCAAACAACTATTTGTCACACCTTGATTTTTTTATTTTTTTAAAAAGCAAAACAATTAATGCAATTGCATCAGTTAGGTTTGAATAATAAGGAAACAATTAGTTGACATTGACTTTGTGGTAGTCCCAAGTCCTTCATTAGGTAACTGGAAGTAAGTCTTATTTTCTTTTCAAGTTCCAACTGGGATACAGGCATCTATCTGAGGTCAGAAGCTTCAGCTGGGCTTTACTTTGGCTTCCTTATTTTCTTTCCATAAAAGTTCCGCCTCAGCAGGAAACATGATCGGATCACTGAAACATCAACATAGGTGGATGGAAGCAAAGTCACCCCTGTTCCTACCAGCTTTGATACATTGGTTGCCTACCTACTCGTTTCTAGGCATAATTTAAATAGCTCATGATGACTTAGTAAAATCTAGATTCGGAGTGGACAACTCCATGGCGCTGCGGGGTACAGTGTCCCCCCTCCTCCACCAGGATGACAATGTATCAGGGCCTGTCAGGATCTCTTACATTGCTGTGAAATTTGGCAGTAGCTACTCGTTTTATTACTGTTTTTCCAGCCCTTTGCTCCCCAAATTTGCTCTCCGGTTTTAACAGACCTGACCAGATACCGTCGTGCCTCGCTTTACGATTGCCCCGTATAACGACGAATCCGCTTAACAATGCCTTTTTTGCAATCGCAAAAGAGATTGAAAAACGATGCTTCCTATGGACAAAATCCTGCTTCAGGAACCGATTTTTTGCATTATGACGATCAGCAAAAAGCTGATCGTCAGGTTCAAAAATGGCCACCGTCTGAAGAAAATGGCACCCTGCTGTTTTCTAGGACAGATTCCTCGCTAGACAGGCACCGAAAATGGCCGCCGTATGGAGGATCCTCGCTGGACGGTGAGTTTTTAGCCCATTGGAACACATTAACCAGGTTTTATTTTCGCTTTATGATGTTTTCGCTCTGCAACGATTTCAGTGCAACGAATTAACATTGTTAAGCGAGGCACCACTGCATTTGGGAAGTCAAGGTTACAGACAAGGATGTAGTAACTGATTCAACCATTAGAGGGCAAGGTCATCCCACCATCTTCTCCATAGGCAAGTCAGATGGTCTGTCCAGATCTCTAGTTATTAACTAAGTTTGAAAAAGTTACTTTTTAGGAACTAGTACTCTCAACATCAACCAGCTTAGCTGGGATTTGTATTTCAGAAACTTTTCCCAGTTCTGATTATTAGGCCTAAATATACCATGGAGTGATGTATTTTTGATTCATTTCAATACAATATTTTATTTTTAATAAAATGCACACACACTACTGATTTATTACACTTAATTCAGATGTACATTGTAATCGTGGGGAGAATGACAAATATTAATAAATAGACTCTGATTTACCTTTGCATTTTGTCTCAATTGTTATTACAGTGTGGAATATAGTTGCGTGAGAGCCACATCCATCTATATGATATTGTTATTAAGGATCTCTCTTAAATTGGTCCCTACCAACTCTACAGCTCTAGGATGATGATGAAGAAGATGATGGGGTACAGTGCAGCTTGATGAAGTTGGGTTAGAATTCCTCAGCAAACTTAGTCTGCAGAACATTCAACATGCAGTTGAAGCCCTCACATATAATTCCATTAAAACAGGACCAGATGGTTAAGATCTCAAAGCTGCATAAAGTTACACAATGTCCCTTTACACAAACACACATTACACCATTTTGCCCTTGCATTTTAAAGCCTAGCATTTTTCCAAACATAGAGCGGACATCGCCTTGCAAGTTGACATGCTTCTTCCTCCTGAAAGAGTACCATGAAAGGCAGAAGCTCAACGGGGAAGTCTGTTCTCAAAATCTTCCTCTTGTCTAGGGACAGTCCTTGCATATAGTGTCTCCAGTAAGTCACTAACCCAATATTATCTTTCCTGCTTATGCCTTTAGAGCAACCTTTCCCAACCTAGAGTCCTACAGAGAGGTGTTGAAGATTAAATCCCTATTATCGACAGCCAGCAAATGTCTAGGAACGATGGGTCTTGTGACCTGACCCATTCTGGAAGCCACACCAGCTTGGAGGAAATCCTCGTTGTCAGTGTGAAATCATTGAACTGTTACGGTACCTCTTCTTGGCCTCCATCCACCAAGGTCTTCAAAACATCAGAGGAGGCAAGATGTTCTTTTATTTCTTGCACAACACAGAAAGAGAGGCACATGAAAATGGAACAAGAAATCTTGAGAACTAACAAAGGACAGGCCAGAATAGCCCAGGATCCTATTGAAGACCTCCATCGTCTGTGGAACATATGCATCGAACGTCTGTCTCAGAAACACCAGTGTACCCACAGAAACATCTGTGTGCCTAAGAGTATTGCCACATACTAGTAAGACCAGCTCTGGGTCATTCTAGGGTCACCACTGGGAAAGAGCTTGGAAAATGTACTTTTTAGGTTAAAACTAGCAGTGCTGGCTGGGGATTCTGTCAGGTATCAGTACATTTTCAGAGTTCTGGTTCACAATGATTAATGACTGGATCCAACCTCCACCCTTCCTCTTGTGGCTCTAACACTTCCTCCAAGATGGGAAGGAAAGAACCCTACCACCTGCCAGCTCCAAGCTTCATAGACAGTTGTGATCCCATTGCTTTTGGTGGTTTGAAACATAAGGAATCCAAAGAGACCCTGAAAAAAGAGAAGGGAAAAGATTACCTTTGTATTCCTCACCAGAACAATCCAGCAGGGCTTTAGAAGGAGAGACTGGTCCATGAGCAAACTCTCAATGACCATTTAAGGTCACTCTGCCCAACACCAAGTGATTTCAGACATTTGTAACTCCTGGAGTATGTTTTGGGCTAACCCAGTTATAAAGCAATTGTATGTCTCTGAAGATTCCCTTTAAATCAAAGAGTTGACACACCTATGGCTTTTAAATCAACGGAGGATAAAGTTCTTGCAAAATACAGAATATACAACACGCTAAATATATGTAGGATCTGATCTGGGTCATTCTAGTCCATGGGGTCATGAAGAGTCGGACACGACTAAACAACAACAAATATATGTATACATTTGTTTCTTTGTTTAATCTGGATTGTAGCTATCATTGTAAACCACTTTGGATTCCTGGGCGAAAAGTGGGTTACAAATGTTTGAAACCAACAAGTACACCATGCATCTAGGTAACTAAAGTGGGAGACACCCTCAAGCAGCCTCAAGCAACCCTAAAGCGAACACCCACAATTTAGATGAAATGGTGGGTGTTCACTTTAGGGTTGGTCGAATCTGCCAGTTTTGCTTTCTTCTCTGCTTGATTTTTTAAAATTTTTATTTATTAGTCTGTAACGTCAAGGCCTTTCCACCAATCTGTGAAGCAACCTGTGAAGATGAGGTAGTTCTTGTTAAAATGAACTGAACAACATTTGCAATGTCTGTCGTTATGTTGTTACATGCGGCCCAAGTGCCTCCTACTTCTGGCAACTCAGTGAATGAATGAACTCCAGAAGATCATTCCATTAATACCCTTGCTCACATGTAAACAAAGTCGTTGGTTCTTTTATGGCATCAATCCACCACATGTTTGGTCTTTGTCTTTTCTTGCTGCTTTCCCCTTTTCCTATCATTATTGTCTTTTTCAGTGAGCCTTGTCTTTACATGTCACAACCAAAGTACCATAGCTTCAGTTTAGTCATTGAAGCTTCTAATAAGAGACTAGGCCTGATCAAGCACTCACTTATTTGTCTTTCTCAAGGTCCATGGTGTTGGTACAGCTCTCCTCTAACACTACCTTTGAAGGATTTCAACCCCAATCAGCCTTCTTCATTTTCTCAATTTCTCATCATAATCAATAATACCATAGTGCAGATGATCTTGGCTTTAATCTCAGCTAACACATCTCAGGCAGTGGAAGACAGGAGGGCCTGGTGTGCTCTGGTCCATGGGGTCACGAAGAGTCGGACACGACTTAACAACTTAACGACAATGAACACATCCTTGTGGTTGAGAATCTTCTCTAGCTCTTTCATAGCTGCCCTTCCAAGTCTCTGTCTTCTTCTGATTTACTGTCTGTAATTTCCATTCTAATTAATGATTGAACCAAATAATCTTCAACAGCTTTGATTTCTTCATCATCCAGATGAGTTACATAATTCTTCCATAGATGCTGTTTTTGTCATATCCACACTGGCTAAAATTCAGTGTGGTGGCCCACACATTGTCCTCTGTGGAGAGGACAAGATTTACTGTCTGTAATTTCCATTCTAATTAATGATTGAACCAAATAATCTTCAACAGCTTTGATTTCTTCATCATCCAGATGAGTTACATAATTCTTCCACAGATGCTGTTTTTGTCATATCCACACCAGCTAAAATTCAGTGTGGTGGCCCTATTCCTTCTGTGGAGAGGACAGTGTTGAAGTTATCAACTGTCCATAAGGAATTTGTCAAACCAAATACAGTAAGCCTAAGTCCACACAACTAGTCTATTCCACAGAGATCTGTGACTTCTCAGCCCTACGCTGTCACATTTCCGGCCCTCAATGGAACAGTGTTATTCATTTCAGTTTCTGCTACAGCTGAGATTTTAAAATCTCAAGTTTTGTCCATCCCAAAGACATTTGTGGACTTTGACAACTCATGGATGTCTGTGATGCAAAGATATTTGCAGTGTGGCATAGGACTGGTGTGGAAATCTTCATATATCAAGAGTTATGTCTCTCTTGTCATTGAATTTTACGGTGATGCTCATGTCTATTTGAGCAATATTACCTTCCAGGTGTTTCATCTTCAAACCTTCCCCCTCGAACAAAGAGCATTATAGTTCCTACCACCTACAACATGCTCATCATCAGAAAAATGCATACATAAGCCCTTACCAATGTCTGGCTAGGCCTATTGCCAAAGATTAAAACAACAGCCCTCCTTCATCCCCCTAGATTCGGCTTCTAGGTATAGAAGTGGCTCAATACATCCCTGGTCTTTCTCACAGCGATGCGTAGGACATCACGCCCATTGTGCAACTTCCTGGATTTCCTGGGTGAATCTGGGACGCAGACAAGGAGGCTGACCAGTGGTGCAGGCAGGAAAGGCTCCTGGATTTCATCTTAAAGGGTTAAATAGAAGTTTCCTTCCTTGACCTTGCATAACAGGCTACACCCATCTAAAGTTGTGCAGGGAACACTCTAGAATAACATGGATGACGCATCTTCATTACTAATCTCCTGATTTCCTGTGCATTTAGTATAAAACAGCAGACTGGAGAGGTCAAATCTTGGGCTGCATCATTTCAGACAATTTAATTATGCAAGTGTTTATTCAAACATTTAACATGCTAGCCCATGTTAGATGCTGAAATAAATACTAGCACATCTAGTGATTGACACCTGGAGTATAGGCAGAATAGGCAGATAGAGAGCCTAGATACATTTTTCTCCTCTTCCCCCGCCCCCTTTTCCAGACCTATATGAGGATTTATGCTCTTAGGCTTCCTTCCTTCGTTCTTCCTTTCAGGACACTTTCTGCTTTCTTCTCCTCCAAGATCTTCCAGATGAAGCATCTCTTCCACTCTTCTGTCACTTTGTGCCAAAGGAATGAAGAGTTTACTGGGCTGCGTGTCCAAACTTCTCTTTTAAAAGCCACTCTAAGAAAGCTGTTTCTTTTAAAGAAATATTTGAGAAACCTTTCAAAAAGGCTTCAGAATTCCATT